TATGACATATATATGATATATAGGGGAGCCCCCTGTTGCGGCGACGTTGGAACATTTATATATATATATATATATATATATATATATATATTTTTTTTTTTTTTAAGACAAAGGATTTGAAATGTGACATTCTTGGTGTTTGTCATGGAATCTTCTTGACCTGGCATTTGGAAAGCAGTTAGGATCGAGTTAAATGAAAACGCACTTGTCGTGCCGGTCTGTAAAGTGGACATTTATGGTAGAATTTAAAGAGAAATCGCTTTAAGTGGGGATCTGTCAAACTGAATTACACAGTGGCGTTCAATGACCAAGTGTGCGGTGTGGAATTGGCAAAGCTGGTTTTTAGTGGCGTGAAAGGAAAATTGTCTTTATGTATCCGGAAATTTAAAGCGGGGTTTAAAGAAAGTGGTCAAAGTGTCAACTGTTAAGCTAGGTTTTTTTTTTGTTTTTTTTTGGGGGGAGACAATCCTTGAAGCTGATGTCAACCTTTTTATGCAGCCTGATCACATGGTAAGCTGTCCACTCTAGGAACCGCTGTCCCTGAAAGGGTTAAAACAAAAATCCTCCAAGTGGCATCTGTCAAGCTCAATTCTTCAGTCTATTCTGAACGCGTTCTGAATCAGCAAAGCTGACTATACGGCGGCGTTTGAAGAGAAAGTTTGTGGCATGGCATCAATAAAGATGGCATTTAGTTGAACTATTTGCGCATTTCATCACTGAATGTTGTTGTGCGTTGGTCAGGGGAGCCCCCTGTTGCGGCGACGTTGGAACATTTAAAGACGAGCCCCCTCTCCCCGAGCTCGTTAACGCCAACGTCGGGGATCCGTGTGCATCGTGCCAGCTCGTCGGGTAAATACACATGACACACACTCACAAGCACGCGCCCGTCCGTCCCTGCAATGAGTCTTCGCTGGTGCTCCTTTAAGGATCAAGTTGTTTTGGGGAGGGCACCAAATCTGGCGGTCAGGATCCCAACCTGTGGAGCGTCGACGACGTCATGCGCTACATCAAAGACATCGACCCCGTGCTGGCACCGCACGCCGACCTGTTCAGGAAACACGTAAGCGAAAGCTGTGATATATCTTAGCATGCTAAGTAGGAAGGAAGACATTCATTTGTAAGTTGCAACTGTGCTATGAACGTGCAATGTCCTCTGCGGCAGGAAATCGACGGCAAGGCGCTGTTGCTGTTGCGCAGCGACACGATGATGAAGTATATGGGCTTGAAGCTGGGCCCCGCCCTCAAACTCACCTTTCACATCGACAGGCTCAAACGAGCCTGAGCGCAGGAGGAGCCCGATGTTCCGCAGATTTGCCTTCCAAAGGTCTTCGCTCACTTCCAGGAGCACGATTTGACTCGTTGCGTATATCGGCCGCCATCTTTGGAACCACGTCCACCTCATCCAATGAGGACATTGATTTCGTGTAGCACAATCCAGCCCCAAGGCAGCATGGGATATGTCTTGAGTCTTTTTTTGTTTGTTTGTTTGTTTGTTTGTTTTTATGACAATTACACATCAAAATGGGCTTTTTTTAATAGCCTGATTGTACATTTTCACCTTTTATACTTTTAATATAATGTGTTTTGCCTTTTTGTTGGAGAACGTTTACTGATATAATCACTACGTTCGGTGCAAAGAGCTGGCAGTGCTTGTAACAAATGTCTCTTTAGAGACGCACACAACCACAACAATAATAACTATGGCCAGAGGAATTTGCTTTTTATCGCTAAATGACAAACTATAACCATTCTGCCGTGACAACATCTGTCGTTTCTTGTTATCTGTCTCATTTACATTGGTCATTTGTACTTATTAAAAAAAAAAAGTTTTGATACGATATTAGAGTTCCTACTTGAAGACTATCACCTGTTAACACTGTTTAATAAATATATAATGTAACTTTTAATTGTTCATATTGTGTTTTGAGTGTGTTGGACACATACTACGGTACTATAGAATACATCTTTCACAACAGCTGCGGCCGCAACAAAGCGCTTTCCAGAATATTTGACATAAAGTAACAATAAAACAACAGCACACGTAACATAAAAAAAACATCGACAATAAAACAATCAAAACAACTAGTCCGACGTACGCCTTGTTAGAAGCGGTTGCAGATAAAAAGATGAAAGAAGAAGTCTCCTTTCACCAGCGGTTCGGAGATGTCGTGGTCGCAGCATGCATGACGTCACGCAAGTCTGCCACAAGCTAAATTTGAAAGTCAACGGGTAGCTTTGGGCTCCATTGACGAATAGAGAAATTGGTTCAGTTCTGTTCCACCGAGATCCGCTTCACTTCCATGCACGAATGCATTTTTTTTTTCGTATGAAAAGTCAGAGGACAATACAGAATGTAAATTTACAAACGCTGAACCGTCAATATCTTACACTGACACATGTGAGCCAGCAGGGGGTAGCAGAGTCTCGCTGTGGCTCCTTCCTCCCTCCCTCCCTCCCTCCCTTAGTCTCCTTGGTGTTTCTCCTTGGGACTGTGACATGTTGTGCCATGGGTGGGCCACATCTCCATCTGTTCCCCTCAGCACCATCATCACCATGTTTTTTTTTGTTTTTTTTCCTACTCGGACGCTTCATTAGCAGCCATTTTTGCATCCGCCTCACCATTTTGTGTGTGTGCTCGGTGATGACAACAACGGCCTTCACTGTCATTGTTTGTCACCACACCACTGGGCTTCTCTTAGCGTGTGCGATGCGTGACGTCGGCAAAAACGTTCAACCGCATCCTCTGAGTGCAAACAGGAAAAGAGTGACCCAGCCCACTGATTGTAACTGACGTGCATGTGTGAGAGAACACTACACACAATGTCACAAGCCAGGGCCCTGATGCCTGGGCTTATTGTTCATGCTAGCCAGTGTGTGTGTGTGTGTGGGGGGGGGGTGTAAGTGGCGCTATTTATAGCCAGAAATAACAGCTCTTTGTGCTCAATATTGCACGTTTGTGAAAGTGCTGCCTGGCCCACGGTCACCTCTTAAAGCGCGTTCGAGATGTATTGTAATGAGTGACACGTAATGGCGTATAGATAGCGGTGCTTCGACCTGAATGTTTATGTGCAAGATTTACGGACTCATACATCACATGACGTAGGAAGGCGTGTCGACATGCATAGAAGCACGAACAGGTTGACTTGTTCGACTGTATATTCAAAACGTTTGTTCCGTAGGAAGTCGCGTAAAACCTTGCATTTATCTTGGCCGTATTGCCTCCAGGTCTTTTGGATGTTATTTATTTATTTATTTAAAAACATTTTTTGGGGCCGCAATCAGATTTAATCCGTGGGTTTTCTCCGGGTACTCCGGTTTCCTACCACATTCCAAAAAACATGCATGGCAGGCTGATTGAACACTCTAAATTGTCCCTAAGTGTGAGTGTGAGCACGGATCATTGTTCGTCTGTGTGTGCCCTGCGATTGGCTGGCAGGGTGTCCCCCGCCTACTGCCCGAAGATGGCTGAGATAGGCTCCAGCACCCCGGCGACCCTTGTGAGGATAAAGCGGATCGGAAAATGGATGGATGTGTTGCTATGTCAATTTAATCTGCCTCTCGTCTTCACAATCAGTATGCTTGCCCACATCACGTCAACTATAAGAGCAATACCAGGTACTCCTTCACAGCTATTGCTTCAATGAAACGTTACTTAAAGCATGAATTGTCAGTTTTGAGAAGAAAGACTTTTTCTTTTAAAACTGTATGTAGAGACGTGGAGCACCTTACAAACAGAGAAATACGATTCAACTCAGGTCTCGCGGTCACATCTTATCCTCTCCTGGGCGCTACTGCATTTCCCAAGCAGCCTCGGGGCACTTAAGACGCTTCCAGTGCAGGGGTGACGCTTCCGAAGCCCTTTGAGAGCGTGCTCTGTTTGCAAAGCAACAGACACACCGATACAGGACGGATATGTGAACGCAAACAGCGGAGACAGCTCATATAACAATAATCGCAGGCCTTCAATCTTGATCCTGTGCTAATATTACTGCGGCTTACTGAGTAGCTGTAACCATCTTCATGTCGAGCTAACTGCTCTACTGAAGTCTTGCACAACGGCGGTTGGAACTTTATTTTGTGCCTCTTAGGAAGTGTATCTTTCCTGGCTTGTGCAATTCCAACCTCACAGAGCATGGTGGGCAAGTGTTTACAGTAGATCTGCCTACCAGTCAGGAAATCCAGGTTCTAATCTCTGTTGTACTCTGTTCCTCCCACATCCCAAAACATACATGTTCGGTTTATTTTAAATTGTCCATAGGTGTGACTGTGAGTGTAAATTCTCATTTGTGTACACAGTGGTGCCGATGAAATAAGAATGTCATTCACGATGTGACCACGCTCGTAACTTGTGTCAAATCATGCAGGAATCAGTTTCAGCCCCCCTCCAAAAAAATGCAACATTGTTGCAATGTGCATTTTAAAGAGGAAAAAATAGCACTCCATATTGTTGTACTTTACAAAAACATACAGCCGTGACAGTTTAGTGCATTGTGCTTGCTCTGGTGTGCTGGCCTTGGCCACCTGGGGGCAGACTCACTGATGGCTATACAATTCTCTGAGATGTCTCAGCTTCTCTCAGTTCAGAGTGTGGCATTCATATTAAGTTTTTCACGCAAAGGACAAAGAATACTGTATATGCGAGAGTGTACTGTTTTGTTGTCTGTCTACATGTGTTGCTCTGCTGTTTGTGTGCAGGGCGCCTTCTGCCCAAACGTGCCAGCTTTCTTGGGCTTACAGATCAGCTGCCACCTTAATGACCACAAGAGCAGTCAAAAATTGACCACTTGAAGGCCTTTCAGGCTCCACTGTATGTAAAAACGATTGGTCACTTTTTGTGAATCATCTCATGCCTCAATGTTTCAACATGCCAGTGGCATCATTCTAAATTTGCCATTCATGACACTGAAAAGAAGCAGCAGACCTACTTTTTGTGCTCACAGGGCTCTGAGGGTTCCTGTTAAATAGGGGTGGGAGAGCCCAAAGACAACAGCCGTCACTTTCTGTCGGTGTAAAAAGCAGGATGTGAGAGGATGACGTTTAAAAAAATAACCCCCCCCAAAAAAAAAAAACCAAAGGCCTATTCAGGTTCTCGTTTTTGCCTGGGAAAATTATTTTCCTATCCAAGCATGTAAAAAACCAGAAGTACTTTGTTCAAATCCTACAGATGTTTAGGAAAGGTGGCAGGCTTGAACCTTTAAGACACCTTTGTCAAAGGTTACTCTGGTGGGATGGGGGATCAAGCAGCTCAGTGGGATGCAAATCCTACAGATGTTTAGGAAAGGTGGCAGGCTGGAACCTTTAAGACACCTTTTTCAAAGGTTACTCTGGTGGGATGGGGGCTCAAGCAAAGAGTTTCGCAGGCAAAGTCCGCAAGCCAGACTTCGGTCAGCATTACTCGCCGTGGCGCAATGTCGTTAGGAAGAATGGACTCGAATTCATGTGAAAGCGAAGTTGAAAATGAGCCACCTCTCCTTGACTAGATGACATCATCCAACAAAGGTGAAGGAGAGGCGGCGTAAAGGTTAGCAGACCGGACTTTTCCCAAATTTACACCGTCTCAAACTATAAAACGTGCCGCCATCTGGTGCTCGACAGTGTAATTACACCAAATGTAAACTTGTCCAGTCATTAACTGGACAGAAACAAAAAAGCAGAGAAATAGCGGGGCCGCAAACCCGGAAACTTCATGGAAGGGGCAGTTGACTCATCTACAAACCACTGCAAAGAGCAGTTCAAATGAAACACAATAGAGAATGAATGGCGACGTTTGTGTTACTTGATGAGCGGAGCAGCCCCACGTAAAGCCTGACAAGAAGCGCTCTCTTCTATTAATTCCACCCCCATGCTTACAGACAGCGAGTCTGCCTTTGGAAGCATGTGCTCGCCGCTGTCACCAGATTAGCACGTAGCTCTAAAGCTGCGCTCATGAAGACACTGTGTACAGAACACAGGCTGCCCTAATACTCTTTGGCTCCCGTCTAGCCTATTAACAAACGTGCCTGTCGGCTGGCCGGGCCCGTGAAACGTTTCCTCGTCTCTGCTCTCATAAAAATTGGACCCGACCGGCCGGGTCACATAAAAGCCGCGTGTACACGGTGTAAATAGAATCATATGAAGTCCTTGCAACATAATGCAATTCAGTGAGAAGGCCCCCGCAGCAGAATTGGGCCTCAGTCATTATTGATCGGCTTGTGAAATATGTTACAGCGTCAACGCGCCGATGCTTTTCCCAAGAAAAATGAAAGCAATATTATCAGTCAACACACTTGGATTATTTGTGTTGGTACATTCGGCTGTTAAGACAGCGCAATGTAATAACTGTGCCTTTATACACCAGCAACACGATTGTCTTTGTTCGCTTGTATACAAAAAAAAAAAAAACATCTGTTTGCAGCTCTGTTGCTGAACTGGCGAGTCCGTATCCATACCACCTACAGTCCTTGAATGAGCAAAAAAGAAAAAAGTTACATACTGTGTGCATCTATATATATAGATATATATATATCTATATATCTAGATATATATCTAGATATATATATCTAGATATATCTAGATATATATATATAATCTATCTCTCAACTCAACTCAACTGTATTTATTGATTTTTTTGTTGCAGCTCTGTTGCTGTACTGGCGAGTCCGTATCCGTACCACCTCCAGTCCTTGAATGAGCAAAAAAAGAAAAAAAGTTACATACTGTGTGCATCTATATATTTTTTTTTTACTGGTGTGAAGACACACGTTACTTTCCAAAAGTTGCTCGACAGCTCCTTGGGGAAATGACAAATAATTTACAACGTTTGCAAAGCCAAATTTGAATAGCATATTGGTTGTACGTCTTTACTGTATCATGCCAGAGCAAAAATCCTCCGCCCAAGTCCCCTCCATGGGGCCTCACAAAACCATCA